TTTCTGCCTGTCTGTTTTGTCACAGAGCTTAAAGCGGTTTGACTGAAGTTTTTTGATGTCTAGTAATCACACTGTCAACTGACATCACTAAAAGCTAGTTAAAGAAATATTCATGATTAAATACAAGTTAAATACTACACAGCTGTAGCATACCTTTGGTTACTACAGGAAATGATTCCAACTCAGAAAAAGCAAAAGTGGAAGCTGCTTGCTCAGACTTTTATAATAAATGTATTTCAAAGCAGATATATGTTGTCATAATTTACAGCATGGCTGTTGTTGTTAAAGCTTAACTTGTATTTAACCATGAATATTTCTTTTAATATTTAAGTCTTGGTTCATGAGAGTTTAATCTGTATCCAGTCTTGTTCTAAGCTTTAGGTTGGCTAGGACATGTCTCCTCTGCATTGGTGTATTAATATTTTAGTCACCTCGTGTCAAGCATCGGGGCAGTGGAGTTTATCGTCTTGTTCTCTCTGAAGACCCATAACTGGCTACTGTTCAGGTTACGTTCCAAGCAAATACAAGCCATAGCTATCTTTGTTCTGTTAAATGATTCAAGCCTAGCGTAACATCGTTTCTTTCTGGTCGTTTGTGTGTAACTGACGGGATGTAAAATCTCTTTTCTCACTTTTGTATTCTTGTGTGGTCCGCGCTGCATTGAAAGTGAGTGGTTTATGTCAGGTACATTTACCTCTTAATTCAAACTGATTTCATGATTCACGTTAATTTATACCAGTAGAGAAGTTGTTTTGGTTTTTGTTGTTTTGGCAGGTGGTTGTTGACTGCTCCGACTAGCTCAATTACAGTGTCATTTGTGGCAGCCCAACCCCAAGTTGTCTCACCGATAACAGCTGGCTGCCGTTTTGCAGCTGTGTTTTTGATATTTAGAATTTTTTAATTTCTTTAAAGTAGTGTTTTGTAGAGCATCGTGTTCACTGCCTTTTGTGCATCCATATATAATTGTATAATTTTTTTTGGTGTATTACTGAATGCGTGTGATTTCAATACAGTATTCAGACGAAGCAATAAATTATTGTTTTAAATGTTTGGAAGACCCTTTAATTTGTCAAACAAACATGTTTCTGCAGCTGAAATTACAAAATGTTTGTTTCATGTTCTGTCTTGTTTTATTTTATGTACCATAGACATGTTTAAGGTAAACTTAATTTTTATATAAAGCTGGGTAAAGGTGTTCCTATGATTTCATGATCAAAGACTTTGATATTCAGGTTTCTAGATGTCTTTAAATTAAGTCTGTGGGATTATTTTTGGCTGTTTTATTGAAATCAAAAGCCTGATCATTTAGAGAAGTAATAACACAACTATCCTCAACAAGCCACACAATTTGATGCATTCACGTTCACAGTTTGTGCTGTGGATGAGTTTTATTTCAAAGTTTAATACTCGGCGAGCACCACTAACTTGTAGGATGTCATTCATAGGAGGATTATCATTACATAACGTCTCTTATGCTTTCATCCGGGCCTTTTCATAATCCTTAATCATGTTCCTCAAATTAATACTTGCCTACTAATTTATTTTGCTGTTATTAAGCTCTTGCACAAATGTTTCTGCTTCATTTCCCAAATACAAGTTTCCTTTTCTTATGTCACAGTCATACGTCTCTAACAGGCTCCTGCTGACACAGAACAATGATTTCTGCAAGTTCTTTCAAGAAAGGAAAGCTTTATTTCACCTGTCTGGCTGGCTAATTTCAGAGTCGCATGAGTATGGTCGACTGAAACTTACCCAGCCCTCTCAGAGGAAATAAAAAGTGGATTCCTGCCATGATGCGTGGCAAGTGGTTACGTTTAACTGTCGTCTTTGAACACTCGTCTCTTGGGAAATAAGCTTGCATGCTGTGGGAATAGAAACAAGTCTTAAGTAAATAAATTGTAATTTGATCCTCGGGACAGGGAACTGAAGCACTTATTAACAGTGAAGTTGAGTGACTATTAAGAAATTTCTTATGTCATGAGAGTAGCTCAGCTAAAAGAATACTTTCTCAGGCCCCAAAATGTTAAATCTTAATGTATATGGGTAAAATCTCATGCCAATATGTTCAGGTCATCTTTAACCCAAAATCAAAAGACAAAAATGTTTTCCTTTATAATGAAAATTAAGCTTATCTTTCAGACTATTCATTTTATTTATTTGCAGTAACAAATAACGCATTATTTTTTTCAGTAAAAATGAACTCTTAGCATTAAAAGCTGTACACCAATAAAATGTGCTCAATTGTCGTGAAAGTGTCACAATGCAAAAATTAGGATAAGCAACCTAAAAGTAGGATTCAATTTCTTTGAGGCAATATATTTGCTTATTTCTTTCTTTTAATTTAGTGGTGAAATATGACCTTGGCATGTTCTTGATAGGTTTCATGAAATTCGCCCATACAGTATATGGTTGCTCGATTGTTCATTATAGAATCAGAATCAGAATCAGAATCAGAATGAGCTTTATTGCCAGGTATGTTTACACATACGAGGAATTTGTTTTCGTGACAGAAGCTTCCACAGTGTAACAATGACAGTGACAGAACAAAAAACACAGATAATAAAAAATAAAAAATAGACGTCTGCCAGTTGTTGATTCACCGCAGTGCTGGGGAATGGTGACTTGTAATTGGTGATTTCTTTTAGACTTTTCCACACCGATGCGGAGTCAGTGGAAGAGAATTGAATCCTTATAGCAATAAAGATGTATAATTTTCTGTCATAGCAGCCTTTGACAACATCAAACATTGTGTGCCAACTGCCAAGGACTCATTACATGGGGATAAAGAGAGTAAATAACCACAATAATGTCAAATTTGCATGAGAAAACATAGCCATATGCTAAACATGATCTGAAACACAAAGCTTGCACATTTCTGGTAAGCTGATGCATTGACTCAGAGATAATGTGAGAATTATTGACGTTTTCCTGCACTCTTAATTAAACCCGCCCCCATGTTATAACTTAAAATGAGACTTAATAAACCAGAGAGTGGCCTGTTATTTACAAAGCTCAAGACAGATGTCAGTCTTAATGTTATGCACTGGGTGACAGGATATTAGTGGTCAGATATTGAGACTTGACTCTATGCTTTCAGAACTTACAGTTCATCATTGTAGAGCAACATCTAGAAAGTGGAAAAAAACATAAATTGTGAAGTTCAACATTTAATATAGTTCCCCTATTAAAATAATTCACACACTGGTGTCTTTGGTACAGAGGAAGCCAGGGAGATCTTCTCTACTCCTTCTGTATAACCAATCAGTCCAATTCATAATTTGCAATTACCACATGCCCACTTCATACGACGCATGTCTAATTTTATATTATTCCCAACAGAGGATGTGTTAAAAGTGTCTGAGACTTAGACTTATGAAAAATGTTCAAACGGTTGGCTGCTGTGGGGAGGTGGTCCTGCAGATCTTATTCTAAAGCAGGAAGTATTTATCTTGTAATGAGGACCAAATAATAAATGCAAAAGTGTGTTAATCTTGAATGCACTGGGCTGCTAGTTGGTGTCCACAGTTCTTTGAAGTTCTTTGCATGAAATAAAAATTGACTATTTACTTTTTTAATGCAGGTTTTGGTCTTATTGTGAACAATTTATCAGTGCATGTTATTGCAAAGAAAAATATATTGTCTTCATTATCTTTAACCAAAATGTAACATTGCTAGTCAATTTGTAGACAGCACTTATCTATTGACATAATACAAAAAAAAATAAATCGGTATAGTTGAATACTATTTTATTTAGGTTTAAATTACTTTAAAAAATACCTGATCTAAAATCAAGTTGAATATCATGTTTCTCTGACAAATGTCAAATAACAAAGTAAAATGAGTTGCAAATGGCAATTCACACTGACTTCAAAATCTGCATTTCAAAACACAGAATACGAACCTGATATGCAAGCAAACTAATTTCTAATTCTAAACCTGGCCGTCCTGTATAATTTCATTCCAAAATGAAAAGTAGCTTACGTCCTTCATGCGCATTATCACATTTGCATTCTAGACGTGGCTTGACTCGGATCGGATTGGAAGTTCACTGCTTGGTCATTGCTGTAACCCTTAACGTGGTTCGAGTGAGGGTCAACTTCACCATGCACAATCTCTGTGTCATCCAATAGAGGGTAGTGTTTAGTCTCCCAGCCAGGCCTAACAGGTTTACCCCTCCCCAGAACGAGGAGACAGACTGACTGCCCCAGGGCTGCAGATATGGGATGCTGTCGTCCTCTGTTCTGCTTCCCCTTTATCCTTCTCCCTGGCATGACGTCTCGATGGCTGCTCAACTGCTGTGGGCACCATGGCCAATGCAACCTTCAGCTGAGACTCCCACGTGGCTCTCAGTTTAAAGAGCCGTTTAATGTATGTGGAAGCTGAAATGAGGAAGCAATCACAAACTCTAAAAACGTATGACTTTTTGAACTTGGTTAAAGGATACTTAGTGTCATGTAGCCAGACTTCAGACTACTTAAAGTCTGTTCCACTTTCCAATTTATCCTGGTCAAAAACTGCCCAATTAGACAGGAAGAAACTGCTTGAGCTGCATGCAAAGTGACCAGTCACAGAATGGTCAATTATATGTTAAATAATATATTTATAATTTGACATTACATTTATGCATGATAAACTGGGTTGTCAAAAGGATGCCAAGGCAAAAGTGTGGTCTTTCAGCACATGGATGACAACTGGCAAGGGCAGGCGGATAGTGGAGTGAAAGATGTTTGCGTAGGGCAGTTCTAGTTTTTATTTTAAATATTTAAACCTCTTGAT